TGAAAACATTGCCCACTGTACCATGTTCTCTTTTTTTCTAAGAAGTCTTCTAATTAACACTACAGCCTAATTAGTTGCAATGCTGCAAATTTGCTTCGTTAAAGGATGTATCTAATTAGAAAAATAAAATCATTCTGAAAATGCTTAATTGCTGTCAATAAACTGTGCGAGATACGCACAGTTCTCAACTTTGTGAACATTCCCCTCCATCTTGACTCCAAATAAAAAATACCTTTCCAAAAATCCAGAGAAGTAACATCATACATTTATACTTTGTAATTAACATACAGTATATCCCACTATGGTGAGTGATGTATTTTAGGACAAAGTCACAACATAAAGTTAAAATAACCAACAAATGTGCATATTGGTCCATGTAGTGCTTTGCAGATATCTTCTACCCTTGTTTACTCTGATGGGCACTAGCGGCTTCAGCTCTTGCAGCACTGGTTTCCTGGCACGCTGCACTCCATCCTCTGTCTTTTGTTTCAGCAGTGGAGTCCCATTCTCCACTTGTGCTGTGTCAGTAAATATTTATTGGCCTTCCTTTTCCTCTGTGCTTGTCCTGATAATTGTGTGTTTGCATGTTCGCCGACAGGTATACGCACACACACACCCGTTGCAACTGCCCCGTGTCCGGTCCTGTCACTCATATCGTTTAACAATGCCCCTTTGAAATTTCACCCTGCCTGTCCACCCTCCATGTCCCCTTTTTCCACTCGTGCATGTGCATTCAAGGAAAGAGGAAAGAGAGAAGGAAGTCATAGCTGTTTTCACCCGATGCTTTGCAGCCTTGCCCGACATGTGACCACTCCAAATTTGAGAGAAGGGAATATACCAAGCTTTGGTTAAAGGGCATAGCTGATAGTTGGTGGTCAGGGCATGTTTGCATAATGATAAAATAAAATAATTATGGTTATTTAGTTATTTCAAATCTAACTTAAAGGGACCATATGTAGTTTGCACTCTTAAGGCAAGGCAAGGCAAGGCAAGTTTATTTGTATAGCACAATTCATGCACAAGGCAATTCAAAGTGCTGAACAAAACAAGAAAGCATTAACATCATAAATAATCACAGTACATTAAAAAAAGATACAAATATAAAATCCTTCAGTTGTATGCACAGCTAAACAGAAACGTCTTTAACCTGGTTTTAAACATTGTCAGAGAGGACAATGGGTAATAAAGGGTAATAAAGACACAACAATTGCAATCCTACTTTAGTTGCTAGAACTGCCTCACAAACATATAAGCACTGATTACAGTACAAACTCTGTGCTTTATGTATGACTAGTTATGTTTGTATCTGCTTTCAATCAAATACAATACATATGGTGCTGATTTTATATTATAATAAAATAACAAAAAAAACACATTGGATAAAATATCTGACTACTGTGGACATGTCCGTTGTATTTTTAATTAGGAATAAATCCAGTTGAACCATTGTTCAGAAAAAGCCAAATATGATTTTTACATATAAAAGATGTAGATGGAATTTAAGATTAATATATTATATACAGCCCTTTAAGTGACCTGTCTTAAACCAGAGCTCGTAATGGCCTCCAGAATCTTGATCTATCATCATCAGGAAAGAATCTACTGATTGGAATAGGGAAACCAGCAAACTACTATTACTCAATACTGTTGCTGTGAGTAATAGTAACCACCCATGCCTTCCCGATGTCGGTTTTGATTATACTTAAAGACACAGATGTGTCAAAACATGTGACCTCAGATGAGCACTACACTTTTCTTTACACTGGCTGCCACACATGGATAGCTACCAGTCCTCCCCACCCTCCAGGCATTGTACCCTGCTGCCCGAGAGAACTTCCTTCCTGCGGTTAAGGCAGAGGAAGCCTGGGCCCGACATGCGACCTGGGACTGCGACTTCAAAGCCACAGGAAGCACTAGCATTGTCTCTTCCTGTGGAGGGTGTCAGAGCGTGGTGGAGCCAGCTGCCTTATGTTTATACAGTCCGACATTGACAGGAATGAGTGTGTCTGCACGCGTACTTGTGTATCGGACATAATGGGAATGAAAGGGCCCTGAACACACTATTTGTCAATATACTATGAGCTGTGATTGGTTTCTTTGTTGTTGTTATTGGCAGCATGGGCCTGCACAGGTAGTCTGCCTTTTCTGCCAGACTAATTCATTGCCTATTGATCCCCCACTGATCTCTCCGTAAGATATATTTTAAGGATTTGATGTGGAGGAGCATTCCTTGTTTTTACTACAAGAAAAACAGTATTTTAGCTAATGTGTTACTTCTGTCAAAAATAAGACTTAAACAGCAATGTTCTTTTGCTGAATTTTGAAATAATATTTATTCTTACAAATTTTGTTTTTTGTTTACACCAGACGCCTTCACTTGAGCGAGTACTTTACATTATTTTCATGTTTATAACTCTAGGTTTTTATTATGGTATGCGAATGTAGTGCAGCTTAAATTTTGTAGCAACCTTTTTATTTTAAAGAGTTAGGCTTCTTACAATGTATGGGTTGATTTTCTTAACCCTTTTGGTGCTAGTTTTAAAAATAGGAAATCTGAGGATAAAGGTGCATAATAAAATCAATTGCAGAAGTAATCTAAAACAAAAGAAGCCATGTTGCTGTACAGAAAGTGTCCTGGATTCAAAGCTCATGAAGAACTCTATTACAGGCTATCCGCCATTGGCTGTTTCCGTCTGTATGTTAACTCCTATTCTAACGTTGTTCTGTTGGGATATATGGGTCAGTGTCCCTGTATGCACTTGTATTCATGTTTGTTTATTTGTGCTGTGTTGCCTGGCTTCTCCTCCGCTGTTCCTCTCGTGCTCTCTGGCAGCGTCGGGACAGTTAATCAATCAAATATTTAAGCAGTGCTTCAGTGCTCAGTGGGTAGTCCTAGATTATCTGTGACTGTTGGCAGTGTCTCCGTAGCCACATCATGAGCCTGGTTACTGACTGGCATCGTCACAGGGGGCCCTCTCTCTTCCTCTCTCCCTTACCCCTATTGGCCTCTCACAGTATTTTCCCACATCCCACACCAACCATGCTTTTAAAAAAGAATATAATTTCATACACTCTTCTTTTTCTGTCTGTTGTCCTATCTGTTGTTTAGCGTACACATTCAGCATGTATAATTGTGGCTTTTCACACAGACTATCTGACAGTGAGCAAGGCCTCTTAAAGAGCTCCCATCTCTCTTTTCTATGTCTATTTTCCCCTTATTTTCTGGGGACTTTACGGCTTGTCTTCCCCATGGGGAACTCCATTGTGAATTGCCATTCAGTTTTTGCCCAATTATCTAGTGGCATTTTCTGCCTTTGACACATAATTATCAAAGTCCTAAATAATTGTCTTTATTATTGCCTGTGTTTAGATGTTGCATCAGCAGAGCAGTCACAAGCAAAAAGAGCGTCAAAGGGAGGGGAGAGAAATTAAGTATTTATTTCAACTAGAGATTAGCTTAGCATGCTGTTAAAATATGTCGTTTTGCCTATTTCAAATCCTCATCCAGACAAATAAACATGAACATGCTCTTTTTTTCTTTGTTCATACACATCTCACACCTATATACAAACACACACCCATCACATATCCCACAGTGAGCCAGTGGTGAAAATAAGATTATGCTTCACAAAAGGTGCAATTAGCAGTCTTTGTGGCAAGAAGCAGCTTCAAAGGCTAAACACTGTTCTATACCGAGGGCCATGTGAAAGGTCAGTTACAAGGTATTGTGTAAATGGAGCTGTTTTAGAGGTTGTGAATGCTCTCAAGTGAATATAGAGTAGGTGAACAGCTGCATTTAGAAATATGATAAACTAATGTCCTTATGGAGAGTGATTTTCAAAATATATGAACATTAAATTATCTTCTACTATAGCCTTTATATTTTCTTTAATATTAAATACAGGCGATAAGCAATATAACACACTGGGAGGTTAACAATATGTAATATAAAATGTACATTGATTTACACGTTACTCTCATGAGCCCACTCGTGCCAGAAGAAGAGGGCTATGAATGTTCAGGAAGTCAAATTATGGAGCAGCTACGTTCCACAACTGACATTAAGCAGCACCAGTGGAACCTCGTGCTCAATTTCTATTCATAGACAATATTTGTTATTCAGTCAGAAAGCTACTGTATATTGTTGAACACATTTGGGTTTCCCAGCGCAATTTAGTAAAATTAATATACATTTTCCATCTTTTGTATTCCTCACATCCAACATGTTTTGGCTAACAGGAATACTTGCACAAAATCCGAAACAAGTACTGAATCGGCTCTCATTTGCCCTAAAAGAATCTACTTTCTGCCACTTTAGAAACATACTTCATTGCTACTCTTCCAAGCCTCAAGTGACTATCATCCAATTATGGAATATTTGATAAATGGACCTTTTTCTTCATTTGTCTGCTTGTCAACTTCTGGTTTGATCAAATTATCAGTTAATAGCCCTATGCACACGAACACCTACGACTATCCACACACTTTCCCCAAGTGAGGGTCCATCCATTGTTGTAAATCCTGTTCCCTATTCTTCCCAGTTTTATCTCAAAGCTTAAAAGGAGTTGAAATGCTTGCTCCCAAGGCCTAGCTACAGTACTCTTGGGGTGAGACCAGCAGTATGGGAAGTCTATTGTAGTGTGGTAACAAGTCCTTTGTGTGACATTTTCCTTGGCATTGACATTCAGAAGGGAATAAGAAGATTCACATTCACATGCGCCTGACATGTGAAGGGAAAGGGTATTAAACATGGAGACCAAGGTATTTCAACGTGCACGGGAAAGGACATTTGCACAAAACGTGACAAGGACACCCTTTGGTTATACAGCTTTTTCATTATGCAGCTGACAAAATCAGCATAAGTCAATCTGCTGTGTTTGGTTTGGATTTGAGTTACAATAGTATTATAAACATTTTATATACATAAAAAAGGTGATTGCGGTGTCATGTTTATGAATAATTGTATATGAATTGTCTTGTCCTCTTGTATTGTCTTCCAGATGAACCAGAGAGAAATAGAAGTGAAGAACAAAGTGTGTGCTGTGGCCCTGACTGACTCTGCGCATAACATCTGGTTACAAGAAACCACTAAAGCCACACAGGACTGGATGCAGCAGGTAAAAGTGTGTGGAATCTGACCTGCATGTTTTGGACTGAGGAGTCAGATGCAAGAGATCTCTGCTGCCTCTTTGGTCACATTTGGATATATTGTGTCTATTGGCACAGTGGCTCAGTTGGTAGAGCATTGGCCTTTGAGCCTGGAGGTCGTGGGTTCGAGCCCACCACAAGACTCCCACTGATGCTGTCGTTGTGTCCTTGGGCAAGACACGTAACCCCACTTTGCCTGAAGCCCCCACTGAAAGATCAAGGCTATGCCACAGAGCAGCCGTTCTCCTGGACACACCACCTGCAGGAGGATCAGTGAGGGGCTGGTGCTTTGTGTACTGGGTGGCATCTATAGTCACCCCCCGACCCAGAAATGAATTAAGGGGTAGAAAATGGGTGGTGTGTATTGGCTAACGCAAAAAGTTGTTTTTCCATCCCCTGGTACATTAGAAATTTAAGGGGTTAAGAAAAATCAGACATTATTTAAATAATTTCAACCAAAGAAACTACTTAATTGCTGTACTTTGTGGCCTACTTCACTGAAAAGGACATGGACATTGCTCGATGACAGACATAAAATAGCACGGGCATTCAAGTGTGGAGTTTTCACGTTTCTCCCTGTGCCTTGGTGGTTTTCCTCTGGGCACTCCAGTTTTCCCAATCACTGAAAGAATCAACAGCTGGAGATGTGTCCCCGGGTGCTGCATTGTTTCTGACAGGTTGCCCTAGTGGCTTTGAAGAATGGGTCAAATGCAGAGGATAAATGTCACTACTGGGACCTTAACCGTAACCAATTTTCATTTAAATATTTTTTTTCCTCAACTTCCATCCCCAAAACATGCTTCAACAAGCAAGTCTTATAGGTTATATCTATAATCTATGTGATAGACTTGATAGTTTTTTGTTCAGACTTCTAATTTTTGTCCCTGGATCATGTCAATGAATAAGTTATACAGTTAAAGCAAAGCGGTGGGTCTGTGGGCGGGCATGCATATATCTTTAGAGCGGCAGCGTGTGTTGATGTGCATGTGTTTAAGCGTGTGAGATGGAATACACGCGCACATGTGCATTTGTGTTAGCTTCATTTTAGGACTTGCCCTTTCTGGTGTGACCTCTGCGCCATACGCTGCACCTGGGCTCACTCAGTATGCACATACAGATGAGGAGCAGCCCAGACCAGAGCAGCTTCAGAGCCAGGGATGCAAATGTCACACACACACATGCTCACACTCTTTATTTGTATTACATCCTACTTTATATCCCTAGCCTTTTGTTTCTAATATTTCTGTCATCTCCCATTTTGGCTCTGTATTTCGTTTTTACTCTCAGGTGTCCTGTTCGTCTGAGAATGTATGTGCATGTTATTTGACTTTGCATTCAAGGTTGTACTCTATTCCTCCTTGTGTGAGTTATTTTACATATATTTGATATATAATATATATTTTACATACAATATATATATATATATATATATATATATATATATATATATATATATATATATATATATATATATATTGTATGTAAAATATATATTATATATCAAATATATGTAAAATAACTTTACTGTGTGTATGTATAAGATATAAACTAAACTAATTAAATCTGTGTTGTTCTCTTACACCAATTTAGAGAACAATATTTCTCTCAATTATCGTTCTCTAAATCTGTGTTTAGTGAGAACTGTTCCTGAGATAAATCCTCCACCTTTTTTGTCAAGGGTATCTGGTGTCAGTCAGTATCTGGTGTGGTATCAGAATTTCAAACTCTATTTGCTCTCCACAAGATTGTGTACGCACCCCCTTACTGTATGTGTGTACAAATGTATGTTTAATGCTTGGATCTTAATGAGACAAAAATTTAAAGAAGCTAATACCTAACATGTTTCGGCGGTAGACTTCTGCCTTTGTCAGAAGTGACACATGATGTTGTAACGTGTCTCTGTTGTTACCAGATGCGGCCAGTCTGATGGATACAGATCTGTTAGACCACATCATGTAAGAACGTACATTGTAAATCAAACCAAATATTTTTTTTTGAAAGTTATATTCCTATTTTCTGCTCACTGGCTTCTGTAAATGTAGAGAAGTCTTGGGAAGACCAAACTCTAATAGCAGAACAGGAATGTAATTTTGATATTCCATGCAATAAATAGTCTAAATAGTGTTAGGAGTACAGTTTGTCCTTGAGAGTGAATAGATGCCTACATATACTGTAGATGCTTGAGTTAAAGGCACTATGAAACTGCACGAAACCCTATGTGGAGTGTATATGATTGCATGAAAATACACAGTGCTTTGGCATTCCATTGCTCTGTTTTGGACAGATAATTCTCTAACCTCAAAGTTCAGGAGGTTATATTATGGTGGGACAGACCAAGGGAGAGTGGATAGTAAATGCAGTGGATACTAGGGTTCAAAGATCTTTGCCTGCTGGGCCTTGTTATATAGGCCAAATAGGTCACTACAAGGGCGACCTGCTTCACTCCTTAGATATATTATATAGCTATGTGATAGTATTGAAAGAGCATGGGCAAAGGCAAACAAGTGCCAGAGCAGAAGCATGAAATAGGCAAAATAAAAGTGTGAGGAACTATCAATTATTAAAAACCCCACCCGCTGCCTAGGTGGCGTAAGGGGAAGGTGCAGGAAGACAAAAAGACAGGTAGCTTATGAATAGCCAGAATACAGATGGGAGGAGATGAAGAGATGTTTCTGGAGGATAGATGAGTAGCATGGAGAAGGAGAAGTGAGTGAAAGAGAGAAATGCCAATGATGGTGTACAGCTGGCAGCCTGTCACAGTCTCCAAGGTGTCTCCTGTCACTGTGCTGGCCTGCTGTCACACTCTAGTGGCCTGCCTAGAGCTCACACACACATACTGAGTACACTACAGTCATGAATAAACCATCCTAATCCATAGAGTTTATACAGCGACTGGAGAGAGCAGGCGGGGAGACGGGCACACTTGGGGATGAGCAAGGCTGGATACTTGGGATGAGTTTCTGAGAAGTTAAGTTGTGGGCTGTCATGTGTGTTATGGTTACACTCACTTTGAATCGCTGGACCCGGTTTGGTGGGTTTGTCGAGAAGGAAGAAGAAAATTTTTTCACATTTGAATGAACCTAGTGGTTTTGATTTGGAAATGATTGTCATTGAGGAAAAAAAGTTTGATATTTGCATTTATGGCATAATCAAACATTGTGTATACAAGTCAAATGATCTTGATACAACATCAAACAAACACTTATCCTTCTTTTCAAGAATTATGGGTGACCTTTGAAGGGACGATAAGTCATCAAATTGTACTGTATGTGTTTTTAACCAGGTTTTATGTTCACTTTTTTATATTGCTAGGTTGCAGCTGACGTCACGCAGTAGCGTGAAAGTCCTCAGAGTGACAGGAAGTAAATCTCCCCATTAAAAACTGTGTAAATCTTCACTTATTCTGGTTTTTCTGTGGCGTGTACAGTTGTAGCCACTGCTCAGATCAAGTAGAGAACAAACAGAGTCTCTATTTTGCTAAAATACATTTCTCTATCGGGTGTTGATTTTTAAGAAAATACCTAAAAAGTAATGGAAGAAAAGGGTCTGAGACTGACCAGGGTATTGTATTCGAGCTCTGTGCCACAAGGTTCGGCTGCGTTCATTGCAGTCCCCCGCTGTTAGCGCACTACTGTGGATCTTGCCCCTGGAAATTAAGTCCAAACTTTTTTTTAAAGCTCAACAAATCACTGCAATGACAATAAAGGGTCATATTTCTCATTCCAAATGTTGTTAAAAGTACTATTTATGCCTTATTTATTATATTATTGAACTTTCATCTTCTGTTCATCACAGGGTGACGAGCTGCCGCTTAATCCTCCTCATTGTTGAAAATATGGAACTCATTCAAACTATACAAGGCATGCGCTGCATTGAAAGTAGTTTTCACTCCAAATAAGACTTGTATCAAGCCGCGAAAAGTTCCTATGTGCCCGTTTTCCAGCATCGGCCTGTGTAACTAATAGGACAAAAATATTTCCTGTCCTTCGGCCCCCTGCCATGCCCCCTTTGGACCACGTGACTGCAACCCAGCAATTTAATGATTTAAGCCAATTATGTGTATTCATGCATGTCCCCAATTTGAGGCTTGCCGGATCTGATTTGCTGCATACCCCCATATCATGTCTGATGTACGTACTTACAATGTTCAGAAAATCAAAAAAATTAAGATTAAGAGATCTTTTTCCCACAGTGGGGAAATGTCAATGTTGCATCACAACAGTACAGTAGGAATGAACAGCACACTGCACAAGATAAATGAATAACAAATCTATACTGAAATAAAATACAATCTCTAACCGTAGCATAAAAAGAAGCAGTATAAAATCTCAATCTTTAGCGTAATAAGGAATGAAGTTGACAATCTCCAACTTTAGCATGATGAAGAAGCAAGACCCCGCAAGAAGTGGTTCAAACATGTCACTCAGCAATTCTATTCTTGTTGCAATGAAATACCACTTCAATGAGGTTGCACCAATCAGTTCTAAACAAGGCGTTGAGGAAACAGTTTCTAATATTTAACTCTTTGAGATCATTATTCTGGTTTATGATTAACAAAATCTGAAATAATAATCTGAAGTTTTCTGAAAACTTTCCAACATGTAGGTGTGAGGATAGTTGCATTGTACTTTCAGTGGTCTATTTACCCATCATTACAGTGCAGTCTGTGATTAGGTAATAGTGCAGCCATACCCTTAAAAGCATTCTCTACTATTATCCTCCATTACGTTTATCACCAATGCCTAAATTCTGGTGATACGAGAATGAGAGAGTTGCCTTCATCCCAATACATAATTCAAGGCAAACGTGTTTATGCTGTTGTTTCTCCTTCCCTTGTACTTCTCTGGCGGCACTGATAGACAGACACAGGCTTGAAGTGACTATGCAGTTCGTCAGAGGCAGCTTGATGCAATGTGCCATCCTTTTGTCTTGTCACCCGCTCTAATCCCACCCAGCAGGCCCGCCCTTGTACCACTGCTGTTCTGCCTGTGGTCTGCCACAGCTCCAGGCCCGTGTGTGTAGTGGGTTTGTGTGTTTGTGTGTTTGCATGTGTGTTGTTGCCTCGACAAATCTATTCAAGACACCACAGCCATCCCGCCATTGGTGGTTTGGAGGGAAGGTTAAGGGGAGAGTTTGAAAGAGTCCTTCACATCTCTTCATCCACCATGAGTCCAGTGCCTCATAGTAGGGCTGACATCTTCCTCCAGACACACTGAATGAATTAAAGGAGAAATGATGAGAAACTTGATACAACAGTGAACGAACCCTTTTGCTCTGTGCAGCTACAACACTGTGCCCTAGAGACCTATCTTAAAGAATCACATTGGTCATGAAGGAAAACCATTTTCACAAATTGACATCTTTTTCTATGTCCCACCTCCTCGTTCAACCATTCTCTATGCTCTTCTTGCGAGAAATATGTGTATCTTTCATGGAAAATGTTCTTCCTTCATCCATCTTCCAAGCGTGGAAAAAAATATATAATTGCCTTGATTAAAGTGGAATTATTTGTGCACACCTGTTACTTAAATCGGAGGCTAATCTGTGGAGGACGCTTTTCTCTTGCAAGCGTTTAGGGGAAAAAAGTGAAATAAACCACCTTGTTTATTTCTTTTAGACATTTTGTGTCTACACATGCACATTTTGGACATATCATCTCATTATCATGTTCAGTGTTAGGGAGTTGGGGCTACAGAGGGCAAAATGTACAAAGGCATTATGTAGTGTTTTCATATCTGGAGAGCTCACATCTTGGTCGAAGACCCCCTGCAACGCTATCATTGAGCCACACACACATGCACCCATAAGCATGTGGTGCACTGTAATGGCTGTCAAGGGGCCAGGCAAAAAGTAAACAAGGGCAGATAAGCAGTGATTCAGAAGGACGCCAGCTGCACATTCTAATCTCGTTACATTTTCTCTTTCTTCTATTGAACTTTTATCTTATCTGGGGAACGTCTTCTCCAAGCATGCCTCCTCAGCCCATCTCTTCACTCCTCTCTTTTCACTTGTTTTTGTTCTGGCCTAACCAAGCTTTAGAATACCAATAGCCTGTGTATGGTCAAGGGGAAAAAAACATCCTTTGATATGTTGTCATAAGCAATTTGAGACATGGAAAACTCAAGAGAATATGCATTTTGTTTGTACCTTCATTTTAAGCTATTCCTTATTGATACGTGTGACAAGTCTTAGACCTTGAAAAATTGATATGACAGAAAATGAAGACAACAGAAAACTGGATGAAGAGGTATTTCCTTTTTTCTGACAGTAGAGTTGTCAACCACAGAGGCTTGAGAGAACAAGGGGTGTTCGCAGGAGGTTATGGGTCAGCAAGCTGGGCAGACACCCTCCCCCAGGGCACCCACTCATCCACCGTGGTAGAAGGCCTCCGCTCTGCACCGCAAATAAACGCCAAGCTGTCCAAGCAACATGTCACAGCGCTCTTAATTGCTCGTTTCTGTCGACCCCCCAGGATTCCATGCAGTTTTTCTATGTTATAAACAGCACTGTCTTTCTTTCTCATCTTGAGTTTTTGTTGTTTTATTACTATTAATGTTTTCATTATTTGTTGTATAAACTGTATGTATTTTATGTGTTTTGTGCAGACCTGCTGTAACTGGGTGTCAAGTCCGGAACCGTTGGACACGCCTTTGGATTCCATGCTGCCAGACTGCCCCAGGGTCTCTGCAGGTAACACATTTGTTTTTGTGATGTTTTAATTTAACTTATACACAACTTCACACACTTTGTGTTTTTTTAGTATATGGCTTTTTTATCTTGAGATATACAGTACCAAATTACTGTTACAAATTCAGAAATATAGAGGAATTCAGGAGAATATTTACTTTAAAGTCTTAGAAAGAATTTCAGTCAGAAGAGACAGTATAATGAACAAATCTCAAATGTACAAAGTATGCCCTCTTAAACAAGCATGCAATCTGTTTTGCTCTGTCTGTTCCTGAATCTTCCTGTGGTGTTTGGCACTCTGCTCTGTGCCCTCTCTGTAGTGCACTGGTCTCTATGATGTGACTACATCATGAGAATGTGTCCTTAATGTGGGATTAGTGATGAAAGCGGTAATCCTCCATTTGACTGGTGATACTGAGTTTTTTTTAATCATGCACTTACAAATGTATGCGTAAACATGTTTTTACTTGAATAAAGATACCCTTATTTCATCAGAAATTGCTCCTTGTACCCTCATGATAGTCTTCTGTTGAAAGTATAGGTCATCTGACACATGCTTTGCATTAGACTGAACATTGTTATCTCTTCTTGGTCACTAAAATGGCAATTTCTATATATGGAGCGGTGTGGGTGAGTAACTTGTGAATCAGCTTCCCCAAATGTCGCCGAGCCTTTCTTTCTAAACCTGTGTAATATTTCATGTTCAAATGTCATTTTTTTCTTGAAGTTCGATATCTACTGTTGGTCTGAAAGACATGTAACCTTTGAGCCAAGGTATTGGCACTCATTTCTGAAACTGCGGGTATCCCTTTCATTGTTCTGACACTGACCTGCTTGACTCAGTGTCCATCTGTATGTTTGAACTATTGACTTGTGCTCTATTGACTTTTACTATTTGAACCGAGCTGAAAAGATGAGAGTTTGTGGCACGTTAACAGAGCTGCCAACTCTGCTTGTCTCTGGTCTTTTGGTGGCAGCTTCAGAAGTCAAAGGTTGACACGGTCATCTTTGTGTCCTTGGCAGCCAAGCAGATTCACAGGCAGCACCATTGTGGTGTTAGGCACAGAGCCGCAGAGAGGTGAGGAGGTGGAGGAAAGGTTGAGGGGAAGGCTGTCAGGACATCATGGCCAGAAGCTTCAATCGACTCACACATAGCTCTCAACAGCCTTCTCTTCTTCTGCCATGGCTGATGTTGTCCTGGTAGTGCTTTGTGCACGTATCCTATTTTCTCTGCCTTGAAAGCCGGCTTCATAATCCTATTGCCGCTCAACAATACATTCCATGCAGTCAGACCTGGCAACTGTGTTGGAGGACACTCAAGGAAATGCTGTACTAGACTGTTAAATCATAGTCCTCGGGCCAGTGATTCAGAAATCATTCAACACTAGTGTATATTCTGTCTGACAGTTAGATTATGTGCATGATTGATCCATCTTATATAGTTTATTATAAAGAATTATATTTTTGTCCAAATGTCTTGCTTTACAAAATCTATGGCATTTAAGACCACACTAAGAGTGATCACTCTTGTTAGCTTTGAACCTAACGAGGGCAGTGAGATGATGGTCAAGGAAGGTTCTCAGGAGTAAGGTCCTCCACAATGCACTTACTATTAGTGTTGGAAAAGATGAAACAAAAACTTCCACACAATGTACTTGTCTATACCCGTGTTTTGTTTTTTTTACAGAAAATGAATGTGTCACGTAGACAAACACTGGTGTAATGTACAATATAAGATAAGATGGACTTTATTGATCTCACACAGGAGAAATGTACAATATACAGTGTTCTACTTTTCAAAGTTTTGCTAAGCTGTGTATTCAGGGCCTTCTCTTATGCACCTTTCAGTTTTCCAGCTTGTTTGGGAAATGTATCCACAAATGTATCACATCACATTGTTATTTTGATTATAATCGGTGAAATGTGTAAAGTAAAATTTCTGTTGGCAGTTTTAAAATAATTTCACATTCTGTGCTCTGCTTGCAATAGATACTTTTTATGAGCATAGACAAAGTGTGAGGGTTAGTTTGTGAACATTCTATGTTGTGATTGAAAATGCATACTTTTTTAGCATTTCCTTGATTTAATGTTGCAAATACTGACCATTGGAGAGGCTTTTGGACTTTACTTTACACATGTATACAAGTGTATAGGCACACATTCGCACAGACTTTGTATTTGGTGATTACTCATTGTCCAGGCTGATTATTAATTACAATGGGAGAGCCTTCTGAAGGTAAACACTGATTAATGACTAACAAAAGTAAGTTAATGTCTTACCTGTGGTTTAATTACCCACCCTGCTCTAGTACAAGCAATGCAACACAAGGTTGTAATTATCTCTAATGGATTGTTGAAAAAGACTTCCCAATACAAACATGACTGCTTTGCACAATATTTTGATTCTGAGTTTTTAGAACAAGCTTCATGTAATTACACAGGGGTCTGTTGTTCATTGTTCCTCCCTTTTATTATAATGGCAAAGATTTGGCTCAAAAATGATTTATTTGGATATCAGACAGACAATGTGCACAAGAACGTCCTTCCTCACACAAATCTCATCCTTATTTGGCTTTAGGGATTAATAATGGATAAACAGTGACAGACCTCAAACCAGATCCAAAAAAGCATTCTTTACTATTGTTAGGGAAAACATTTCTTCATCTTTCAAAAACCCAAAACATTCTCAAACACATCCCAGTTTGAGAAGCGCTAGACCTTTGCCTCAATGATCCATGCTCCGCTGAACCTGAGACATCTCTATCTGTCGGCACCCATTCACCACAGACCAGCTTTTTCATTCAAGTTCACTCTGAGAGGAAACTGCACTCAAACTAACCTCACCCCATTCCAACCACTATTTATTCAGCTTTTGCTTGTGGATGTCCACCAGCATGTAGGAAAATGACATAAAGCCAAGTTTCTATGTTTGCGTTGGTGTTTTTACATATGCGTTCTAGTGTTTTGATAGACTAAATAAACATTGTTAGAGGAAATGGACCAGAAAACTCATCTATCCGGCTAGCTGCCCCTGTCACATTTGTGGCAAAGCAATTGAATATAATGAAAGTAATTGGGACGATGTCGGTCCATTTTAATTTTACTATACAAACTAATACCCCTGAAATACAAAACAACTCACCCACCTAATTGCGTAGAAGAAATCACAATCTAATGATCTGTTATTTTTAAATATTTTCCTGTGACATCCCTGTCTTTGACCCCTAACAGGTGGGAGGGGTTAACTCTTATTGTAGATTGAAATGATTGGATTTGCCATGACGTATGTAATGCACCCAAGTGAGTCGCTAGCCTTTAGCATTTAACCTAGCCATCTCCTTTGCCACTAACGGAGCCCGTGGGGAGAAGAACCACAACATCTTTGCTAGCAATGACATTTGCCAAACATTCCTCTTGCTCCGGCTTTACTTTCTTGCTATTTGAGAGCCAAACCAGATAATATTATTTTACTATCTTATTCGCCGCCATTGCCAAACTACAACCAGCTATTTCGGCGCCAACTCTTGACGTCACAACACCTACATACAACACCCGCCTCCCCCCCTTGCTGAATGGTCGGATGGGATACAACTGAGGTAACTGCTGCCACTAGGAGCAGACCCAGATGTAAATGTAGGGAAATAATAATTGACCAGAGTTTATGGATGGCTAAGGCCACTTTGATGCCACCACATTTCTAGAGGCTACTTTGATGCTATTCTTTTCCACATTTCTAGAAGAAGGCTGCCAGGACATCATGGCCAGAAGCTTCAATCGACTCACACATAGCTCTCATCAGCCTTCTCTTCTTCTGCCATGGCTTTGTGCATGTATCCTTGTTTATTGATTCAGCGTGGCTTTTTGCTTGTATCTTTTCCCAGATTAGAAAGATAAGTCAAAAAAGTCAATTGACATGTGTCTGCGCCAGCTGAAGACAAAGCTTTTCACCATTAGTAACTGACAAAATGAACATGATCAGCGACACCTGCTTCACTATCCACTCTTTGATGTGACAGAGAGTCAAGAGTAATTGTAGAAACCCTGGTGTGGTGGAATTTGTCCACTTACAGAAGAAAAAATATGACCATATGGGTCAGCCCATAAAAGAGAGTATTTAATCCCAACATGATTTTGTGTGTACACGTCTGACATGTGCATGTGTGAAAGGAGTTGACAAGGTGTGACGTGCTCTATAATCCCATCTCCCATACAGTCACCATAAATTATCTGTGAGGCCATTGTGATTTTGTTAACTAGAGTTCTGCCTAGTATAAGCCCTGTCTGATCTGCAGTTCACCCTGAACTAGGTAAACTCTTCATAGCCGGTTTTCTTTTTTTCTGTATTCTCACTCACAAAGAAAATGTGTAGGGTAGTAAGAGGAAAGGCAGAGAGAATAAAGGGAAAATGTCTGCATGCATAAATGAAAGTTCAACAAGGTTCAATGAAACACTTATACAATTTGCTGCAATATAGTACGCTTTTATAATCTTATTATCATCTTAGTACCAGATTTGCCCATGAGGGCTGTTCAGTATTCACTCTTATTAGCTCCACAGATTTGTCCATTTGTCCTTCCACTACCCACCATGCAACCAATCACAAGAACCCAATCTGTAATAAATACCCCCCGCCTTCCTATTTGACTTCTTTTCTTCTTTCCATGCAGCCATGCTTTGCCAGTGGCAAAACACAGCATATCCCTCCTTACTCCTTTAATAATGCCATATATTTTTCTCTGCAAAAGTAATTTACCCATAATCACATTTGGAATTACAGTATATTATTTCAAAAATATGTTTATGCCCAAAGATGGACCCTGGTGCTTTTAATATGTACAGTATTTATGATTTTTTCATCATAAACTCCACGTTTCTTTGATTTTTGTCAAAAACATTTATCACCACACTTATCTGGTTTGGTTGGTTACTAATCTCTGCTGTCCAGGCAGATATTTCTTCAGGCAGATTGTGTTTTAATCTGCTTTGGTGCTCTGCTGTTGACT